TCTATATATATCAAATTATTATTATTATTCGAAAGGGAAATGCATGACAATTCATCATAGACGTAATGTAAGACCGAATATAAGACTTTGCGTATTTGATCAATAAATCTTTTTTCAAATCTATTGTGTGGAAATTAATACCACAATAAATATCTGTGCAAATTGACGTATAATATAGGATATATTATGTCATGAATGCATTACCCTCTCCTACAATCTTTCTTCTCTAGTTGGCAATTAAATGCAAAACAAATTTTCTGCAGACTTATGAATGAAAATCGTCAGATGCTTAACACCATGTGGATTCGTGATTTCCTTATTCCATAAAACATATTTTACAATAAATTCAGCTTTCAAGACTTAACTCTCGGCAAACAAACTGATTTTTATCAAATTCAATAGTTTTTTGGTAATTTGACTGTCAGAAGCTTTTCGATTAGAATTAAGCAGCTGCAGTTCAAATCACTTTTGAAGGATTTTCTCACATAGGCTTTTCCAACTACGCTGATCATTTTGCTTAAAAATTCATTTGATTATTCAATAGATTGTGTTTTTTTGTAAAGAATATGTCAATTGAAAAGTGTGCGATCAACATCTGCCAAAACAATGGTCTTTGTTATAGAAATAGTAGCATGAAAAAAAATGATTCATGGTGGTGTGAATGTTCTCCATGCATTATTGGACGAACATGCGAGTTGAAGAATAATATTTTATGGATAAATCCACCATCGGTTATGAAACTAATGATTAAGGAATCTTCTATCGACTATCGATCAATATTTATATCCTGTATTAATATTATGATAATTGTTGGATTAATTAATAATTTTCTTGCCTTATCAACATTTTTGAGTAGTAAATCTATTCGTTCATCGTATAGAGGCGTTTATCTGGTATCATATTCTATATGCAGCATTTACGTTATGATATTTATTGAAATACGCTATAGTTTTACATTGTACGCTTCGAAATTCATCATAAAATCGTATTTCTACCAGTATATTATTGATTGTTACATAGGAATCCGTATCAATGCTATTCTGATTGCTGTTTGTATGTGGTGCTCATCAATTTTGGCTATTGAACGTACTCTACTTGAATTATTTTTCTTTCGGTTATTTGGAATGACGAGAAAACATGCTATAATCATTCTGTTTACGATTTTGATCTTTTGCACGTGTGGAAGAATTGCAACGATATTATCAAAAACCATTGTACCCGATACAAATGATGAAGGTTTATTTAAATGTGGTTATCTTGTTGACATTAACCTGTTGAATAATGTTGAAGTAGTCTTTGTTTGGATTAATGCTGGTGGAACATGTTTTCTTCATTTTTTATGCAATATTTTAACTTTGATTAGCATTGCACGAAGAAAAATCTATCTATCAACAGGTAAATTAACATGTTGGAATGCTTGGTGTACACAAATTCGAATACATCGTGATTATTTTATTCCACCAACAGTTATTTTGTTGAGTCAATTGGCGCCGATGCTATTTTTTGAAGTTGGTCGTCAACATGCATGTTTAGAACCAAAACTAAACATCTGGTCGCATATGCATTTGTTCGCAAGTTTCATGAATTATGTCCCACAAAGCACAACATTTTTAATATTCGTTTATTCATCAAAACCCTATATGAAAGAATTTTATTCAAATACATTCGTTGGAAAATGGATCGTGAAATTCAAAGAAAAATTCACTCGCCACAGTGAAAATTCTGCTTCAGTATAGTTCTATAAAGACCAAGAACTCAATTTGACATCATCCTCAGAATTTACACATTTTTCTCAATATCTTGAAATTTGTCCGTCATACACTCTAAAAACAAATAGATATCCCCGAAAACCCTTAAAGAGTTGATGGTATGAATCTCGGTGCGGGTGTGATTGTTGTTCTTCATTGTATTTTGCATCCACACCAACACTCACTTCCTGCCACACTTTAAATTGCAACCAACTCTAGAAAATTAATTTAGCAGTAAATCACAATAATATATGTAACGAGGGAGGGACACTAACCGATCAATCTTGAGAGTGTGGGTGTGTGTCATGTTCTCAATTCATCCTACATCCACCCACACCCACACCCACACCCACACCCACACACACCCACCCCACACCCACACCCACACTCCACACCCACACCCACACCCTCTAATTACGTATACCTGTATCAAGTATGTGTTGTTGTTGTTGTTGTTGTTTGCTTTTTGAGTTTTTCTCATTATACTTAGAAATTTCTAAATATTTGAAAACTTGTCTTCCATACTGCGAAAGAGTTTATCTATAACAACACTACTGAGTGTGTTTTCTATTTTTTCAAAATGTAAAGTTTCATGGCAAACAATAACAGTAAGCAACATCTGACACTGATCACATTATTGACATATGAGTGTAATGTTATAAATAACTGTTTATAACTAGTGACAAAACAACTTTTCTGGCTTTTCGTTAACATAATACCATAGGAAAGAATCTATGAAACTCTTTAGAAACATATTTGATTCTATATTATTGAAAAAAAAACCCTATGTTAATATTCTCATTAAAATTCGAAAAAACATCTTAATATATTCTTGAATAAATCACAAGTTATTTTATCAATAATAACAAAAATAATTCATGTCATCATAAGTATATACGCATTCATTTAATTTTTTGATCGAATTAACAATTCTTTCTAATATAAACACTTAAGTTTTCAGAGTAAATTGATCTACAAGCAATAAAAGTCAAATAAAAGTACTTATGTAGTAATTGAAACAAAAATGTTTGATGACATATTTGTTTCAGTGTATTGTCATTGCTAAAAAATACAATATTCTTTAGATTATGTGATTAAAAGGTAATATCTGTTACCCATCATCGAAACTGATTTCGATTAAAGATCATTTAGCTTTTAGTAGAGTAACAAGATCTGTTATTTCATCATCATTGTTTGTAGTAGTAATAGGTGAGTCACGTTATCAAAGGTACGGTAGAAACTGATTGTTCGATCTTTTGTCAACTTCAGTCAACCACAGGACAATGGAAAAAAGTTATGTTTCAAAAATTATTGACCATTATTAAGGCTGTATTCAGTATGTAATTCATTTCATAGTAAACATGTAAATGGAGATTATTATCCATTTTTGAAAATAAGGCAGTTCGGAAGAATTCTTTTAACTTTTGAAAGGAAAGTGATAGGGACCTGGGGTTTTCACCGTTGGATAGAGGACATCAATGCACGTAAGTCTATGTAAAAACCAATGGGTCAATTGATAAAAATTCTCGTTATCTGCGTCTTCAAATTTGGCTGAAAATTGCATAAAATATACCTATTCTTGATATTTAACCTCGGTATACAACTGATTCAAACATCAGATATATAGTAGACGTTACCTCTGCATCATTTGAACTCAACAGGATAAAATGTTGAAGTTGTCCTTTCTGAAAGAGAAGAATTCTTTGTGAGAAAAAGAAACTTGCAAGTTTCTAAATTTTGAGGCTTATTTTAGGGTGTGGGTGTGTGTTGCTGAAGAGAAGATTCCACCACTCACAGCCACACCCTGTTTTGACTTATTTGCGAGTTTGAATTTGAATCCAAAGGAGTGGATTTTAACGACAAGAATTTTCTCTTTCGAATGGTGCAAAATAGTAATGGGTTTGTACAAATGTAGACGATATCGAATACAATACATGTAACTGTTCCAATAATTTTTTGTCTCGAAAAAATCGAGTTTTTCAGTAATATTGTTCTCATAGCACAAGTTTTTCTTTCCATAATCTCAATATTTCAATTGCTACTACATTTCATCTGTACTTACCTCCTGCTAACATCAGATTTCAAAATTAGGTATGATCTTCTCAGAAAAACGACTGGTCTTCATGACTAGATGCAAGTGTTCCAATAATTTTTTGAGCAGGTGTATATATTCAAGTGGAAAACTCAATATCAAAATTTTGAGTTATCGAATGCAACACGAAAATGAAAACTAAGGTTTCATTAAAATCTTTTTATTTGGATTTCTTTGTTTTGAATGATCAAAACAATAAATCTTTACATGATAGGTTATAATCATTAATTCGATTTATGTCATTATCATTATATTTTGCTGAATGTCATTTTTTTGATACCTCAAATGAAAATATTCAAATATCATTGTGACAATTTTGTATAAAATCAAACAACGGTAAAATAAGAGTCAATGCAATAAATAATGTCAAACTCAAGGACTGAAAAATGAAGAATTATTGTATGAATTAGATAACAGTTAGACAAAGAAATATGGTTATTTCATAATAAACGTTTTATGAGATAGTTTCAAAACTTTCTCTCTTAGAAACTTTATTTTTTTAAATTTAAGTTTTCAGAAAGATATTTTGTAGAAAAAAAATAATCATTTGATACCAAATTAGTGGTGAGAAGCAGTATTTAGAGCATTCTCTATAACCAGATCTTCATCTGTGTATAATTATTCCAAACAATATTTGTACGATTTGAATCACGAAATTTAGGCGTATTTCTTAATAAATTATTAATAGATTTCTGTTGAACCAATAATATGTTACGATCTTGAACGCCATCACGTCGATAAGTACTACCTTTGTTGATAATAATTTCAACGAGTTCTTCAAAATAGGTGACAAGTGATATAATTAATTCTGCCAAATTTTCATCAGGATGTAAACCGCATCTACTGGTCCACAGAGAAACGAGTCGCGGAAAAGATTTGGATAATATAGAAATTTCGATTAATTTGGGTAAACTTATATATTCTAGAAAGAGAAAGAGAGATAATAATTGATTATTTCAACTTTATAATAAGTTCTCAGCACTGATGCAATATTAGCGATCTCCAAAAGAAAAATCACAAGTACATTGTTTTTTAATAAGTTAATAGTTTGTGTGACAATTGGATCTCACGAGAAGTGATGGTTTATATATTAATCTCTGGATACAGCTATTGATCGTTAGATTTTCTTAAGACATAGATTCTCATGTATAATTACATATATGTAGTAGTGATTCTTATTAAAAATCGATACATCAATAGGTTCTCTGGACTATAAGATTAGTTTACTTAGATATACGTCTGATGCTTTAGAAATAGCAAAAGTTATTTACCGTATCCATTAAAAAGGTATAAATGTAGATGACGCAAATTCAGAAGAGGTGAAACAGCAAAATGTCCACTGGCAAAAACTGAATCAATACTCATGACGTGGTTCCAATTAACAGTTAATTTCATCAGCTGAGGTGCTGCTGAAAGAAGCAAGTGAAGAAAAGCCAATTGTTGTGATTCCAAAAGAAAGTTATCATTGATAAAAAATATAAGCGAGCACAGTTTATCCAATCGAAATTGATTGAAGCGTGACGAAAAGACGATGAGTCTTGTAGCAGTCTATAAATATGAAAGCACGTTTATATTAATATTGAAATCTAGTATAAAAAGTACCTTTTATTTTTTAAAATGCTATAATTTCTCTCATCTAAGACATGTTGAACAAATTTGTTTTCGTATACTTTGACTTCTGAAAACTCGTTCTCAAGAGAAGAACAAAAGATCTAGTGATATCAAAAAGACAAATATGTCTAATGACTAAAGCACTAAACTATATGCACATTGATACAACATTACAACTCAAAGTTCACTCTATCATTTAACGTAAACATAGTGTCGAAAACTGAGATATCGTTCTGGTTTAGTTTTGTATATCAGTCAATATATCAGTTTCTATTTCCTGGTCATTTTTTGCACTTTAGTAAAAGGTCGAAAATTCTCTCAATATACAATGCTAATCTCTTGAAACACAATACACATCAATTTTCCAAACAGTAAATCGATAGGCATTCATTTTTTAGATTTATTCCTACTCGAGTGAAACCTTTTGTCTCATGGGCATAAACTTCTTCAGCTTCTTGAGCAAGAAAGTGAAGTACTATGAACAAATCTTGAAGTCTATATATTTCATCTGCATAAGTTAAAAATTCTATGTAAATAAAGGCAGTTTAGAGTTTGACTAACTTTCCAGATCGAATATCTTTCTGCTGAAAAAAAGTTCGACTTGCGAAAAAAGATCTAGTATCGTTTAATTACGGCATCATAAAATATTTTTATGTGCATAATTTTCGTGAGCTTCTTGAACAAAAGGATTATATGCTTTCAACAAATCTTAGGCTCTACGTATGTCAAGAATGCGAAAAAAGGTTCGACTCGGATAGTTAAAGCACAGAAAGAATGTTGAAATAGAAGTGAAGTGAAGTGAAAAATAACTAAATTTGTTCGTTTTTCTTGGCATAAAATTAGCTTATATCATAAAAAAGAATCTCTCAATCCTACTTCATTCACTACGTTAACGTACATTTTGCAGATTAGTTCCGCTCCAACAGCCGATTTTCAATTTCTTTGTCGTTTTAAAGTTTGACAAAACATCGAAAATTTCTTCTGAGCTCTTAATATGATCGCAAGTCCATTTAATCGATGATGTTGATGATTCTTGTTTGAGTTTCATTGCAAAGGAGTGATTGTGTATAATTCGATGGTAAGGTAGAGGTGAACAAGTGAAAATAAGAAGAGAATATTTCTTTGGTGGCGATAGTAACTTTGAATGATAATAAGTAAGGCAATGTAAACGCTCCTCTTCAAGACAGTAATCGATATTGTTAGCTTCAAATGGCCATTCAAAGTTACGATGCTTATGCCATTGGTACTCGAGTTCACCAGGAAAGCGAAGAAGAAATCGAAGAGACGATGGACGAAGAACAGGCATATTTTTCTTTGACTGAAAATATTTTTGAAAATCGATAAGACGATTCAGTGCTGAATTCAAAGAAAAAATGGCAATAATTTAAGAACAGTTCATGATTTTCAGTTGAAAAATTCATAATGTCTGATATATGTATTTCTGATTTTGATTATCAAATCCTAACATAAAATACTTGCCATTTCCTTTTCGACAAATCACTAGCTATTCTTTGTCAAGAAAATTTTGGAAAATTGCAGAAATTTTCATGCTCTATTATGAACTGAAAGTTTCACATTTATAAGGAAGATTGAAATGAAAACAAATTCAGTTGTCAAAAATTCTTAATCTTAATTTTATGCAGAAGCGGCGGAAAGAGGCAAAATCAAGGAGGATTTTGTCCGGAAATCGAGAAAACGGAGAAAGCTCTAGCGTAAGTTTCGAAAGCAGTGTGGAGTAATCCCATCATCCTCCCCGCTCGCGCTGCCCCTGAAGTTATGTGACAACTCAATTAAGATAAATTTTATAATAAGAGATGGTATTTTCTCTACTTGAAATTAAACTACTTATAGTACTATAACTCGACTAGACTCGATCCGATCCGACCTGAGAATGAATTTGAAAAGTTGAATCCGTGCAGAATATAAGTTATACAGATACAAGCCAGTTCTTACACTTACTTTTATCATGAATCTCAACCAATGTCAACTTTTCGACTAAAGGCATGTGCACCAATGATAAAAATTTGAGAAGATCGTCAAGTGACATGTAACTGAGCTTGAGAGAACGTAAACGACTTATAATATTGGTAACATTTGTCACTTGGGTATCATTCAGGAGATTACGTTTGTTTTGTTTGATAAAGGTGATATAGAGATGATCAAGAACAGGTAATAATTGAGTATCAAGAAGAATAAATAGATCATTTAATCGTCCAATAAAGAGTGACAAATGAACAGTATTCGGCAAATGCATTGTTTTCCATTCATATGTATCGAAATACCAGTCGTCACTAATGTCATCTAAAAGAAAAATAAACATCTATATGAAAATGTCAAATGATGACAACTATCTAGATTCTCATTTTTTTCTTTCTATGAATAAAATACTTTCGATTTAAGGACATTTGTCGATCATTAAATTTGAATTTGCTAATACCGCTCAAAAAATTTGAAAATAACATGCTTATCAGTTAGTTAGTCTTTGTCGAGAATAGACTAGATTAAAGTGTTGTATAAAAACAGTCAGATCATTTCTATCACTATTTTGTATTTTAGAGTGACAAAAATGATGTTTACATTCACTATGCATCAATCGATTGTACTCAATTAACTGACTTTATCAGACATAAAAGTTATACTTAGGGCATACCAAAAGTAATGACGCCATCACCTTATTTCTTTATAAAAAGCTCGAAGAAATTTCCTTTTTTTATCCAATTATAGACAAAAGGATGCTCTATATTTCTATGCTATTTGATCAATATTCAACTAATGTCATAAGTATAAAATTTCGATAAGACCTGTTTCATTCGCATGTGTGCCGGTAACATGAATGCTCGTGAGTATTTTTTGAATAACTCTTCATAGAAACAAGATAGAGAACTGCGGTTTTTACCGTTGAAAAGAGAAGATGAAGACGTATCGAATCCTATATTAAGATTTTTCTAATATGATTTTCGAAGTTTGTTTTGTTCAATTTTCTGATCGTCTGAAAAAATGCATTTTTAATAAAAAAAAAACGCAAAAAATTTGCTAGAAAATCGTAGTAGAGATTCGACTAGAATACCTATTATCCCTAAATAATTAAATTTAAACATCTGTCTTTCGTAGTTTGCAGATCTTTGATTAGCGGTTAGAATGTGAACCTGATTATTGAAAATTCACTGTAAACAGCTCACGAGAAAAGTTTGTTCTTTAAAAGGTCAACTGAAAACATTACAAAAAACAGGTTAGAAAAATCTGCAGTATACGGTACGATGCGTCTACATCTCCTCTTTTCAATGGTGAAAAGAGCAGCTCTCTATCTTGTTTCTATCAAAACTTATTCAAAAAATATCAGCACTCATATGATCGTGACATGTCACAACAAACAGCACTTTTTTTTTCTTTCGAAAATTTTATAATTATGATATTAGTTGAATACTGATGAAATAGCATAGAAAAATAGAGCATCGTTTTCTCTATTATTGCATAAAAAAAGAAAATTTCTTCAAGCTTTCTATAAGGAAATAAGGTGATGGCGTCATTATTTTTGGTATGCCCTAAGTATTAAGTATAATATTGTTGTGAAAATCACATCTACTAATCGATTTTTATTTAACTCATCTTGATTTTTCAAAAACTCCTTGATTTGATAGAGTTTATCTTAGATACAAGAAAGACACAAATAATATTTATAAACTATTTAATAAACTTACCGACTTCGACATCGAATACCATACTGTAGAACGAGAGTTGATGATCAGTGAAAGTATTAAGCATTTTCAAGTATGAAGAACTGTTTATAGGCGTATCAAATGTGAAATGAATATAACGAAGCGATGTTGGCAATGGAAGTAACATTTCTACTATGTTAATTCGATTTATGGCTTCTCCTGTCACATATAATCGACGAAGTGAAGAAAATAAACGTGAAAAAGAGGTATTGATGGAAGAAAGTTGTATTAGAGAGTGATGGTTGTTGCAAAGTGCATCACTAGCAAGTGTACCACAAAGACGAATAGTATCGATTGAGGAGAGAAGACATTTTGACCAATCATCTTTCCCTTCGAGCAGTTGGCGCATATCAGACAAACAAATGCTACTGCTACCACATTGAGATGTATCGAGAATTGGACGTGGAGACATGGCAAAAACTAAACCATTAATGCGATGATTGAGACCAACTAGCGCTCGATAAAGATCGATTGGTGAAAGAAAGCTCATAAATAATAACCAAAGTTCATTTGGCAACAATTCGATAGATCTTCGTGTTATCACCATTGTATTGGAGAAAGTATCCTTGAGAAGACTGTTTATTCTATATATACAAATGTGCATCAACGATTTTTGTTTAAATATGTACTGTGGATTTTTCTCGACAATAACGAATAATGAAAACAACTGACTATAGAAAAAAATGTAACCGTCTATCCTTATGCTTGCTTGTGTTTTTTTCAACGTTCTTTTTCATTCCTTTTCTTTGCTCAAGTGTTGACGGACGTAATAAATAAATAAATGCTCATTCAAAAACAAATACGACTTTTTTTGACCGACCCTAGAGTTTAGGGTTGGGGACCGGGAGATGATTACCAAACCGTTACTAGTTACCGGGAAACGTGACAGTAACTTTTTACCCTTATTCGCAGCCACACTCACCCATACCCTTTGAGTTCCCGACTCCTGGGAACTTGACCAGGTCTCAATATCCTATGAGGACTTATGAATATCCCTATAGGATAGCCCATGGGGACTATTGGCTACCCCAGAGAGTCCACCCTTTTCAGTTCTCTGAGCTGAGCCAAACTGTGCGAACAGTTCAGGAGAACTGTTCGAGGAGTTCTGAAAAAGTGAACCGGACTCTCCGAGCGGCTCAGCTCAGTTCGGAATAACTGTTCGAATGGTTCTCGCAAACTGAACTGAGCTGTTTGAACAGTTCATCAGTTCGGAACTTTTCCGAACTGTCGTACCCTTATTAACAACATGATTTTTACTTGCATGTGATAATAAATGTGCTTCATTAACTAATTCAATAAAAGCTAAACCAGTATGTTTCTAAAACCAAAACAAAATGTATGAAAAAGTTTTTAGACAAGATAAATTCTTAGGTTTGAATATTATTACTTGAAGAGAATTTCGCCATTCTTATGAACATAATAGCATAACAAGTTCAACAACAGATGGTGTTTGTTTAAATACATGTAAACCACTCGGTAATAATTCTTGTCCATGTGAAACAACTAATGCTTTTGTAAGAATATGTGAAAATTCTATAAATATATCATGTAAAAATAGTGCAATATTCGATAATGCACGTTCTTATTTTTCAGTTATATTCATTGATGATGATGATTCATTTGAATTAAAATTTGCTTTTAGATATTCAGGAAGTTTTGATTCAGGTAATTGACTTTTATTTATTGTTGATGATTCACTAGTAGGAATACTAGCAATACTTGATATAGAAAAAGAAAATCAAAAAATAATATTCTAGAGTGTGACAGTTCGTCTCTCTGTAGATCATATAAATTATTATTCGACATACCGTATGGAATAGCAGTAGCACTTGTATTATTCATATCGATTGAATTTATTTTATTGATTTCATTATTATCATCAATAACTGCTGATTCACCATCATTCTTCTACAAGAAGGAAGAAAAAAAATGAATTTCCATTTTTTAAATAAAAGGCATACTTGATTATTTGCGATCGATGTTGAATCATTTTTGCTAGCTGTATCTACATTAATCTCACTAGTTGCACTTAACGATACAAAAAAGAAGAAGAATTTCTCACAAAGAATAACAATCTAATCATTTATACCATATCGAATACTAGGTGATGTATTTATAATTCATGCTTGTCTAGAAAGATTTGCTTGATTTGTTTCAATTATATGTCGATATCTTGATATGATAAGTACTGATACAAAATAAAAAATACCTAATGCTAAAAATTGTGATTGTTTTCTGTCATTCTAAAACAAAAAAAAACAAGAAATTTTCATATTACTCAATAATTATTTTTCTTAACATATAAAAAAAAAGAATAAACATATAAAGCAAATCAATAATAATATAAAGAAAAGGATACTTGATTTACCGCGACAACGACAGCATTTTTGTTCGTTTTACTTCTTAATAAATGAATTAATTTATGCTGATATATCATCCTTTTCATCATCATTATCATTTATGTTCATTAAATAATTTAATTCAAGTATAGTTTCAAGTGGATCTTTATTTGATGTTTTTTGGGTCGATGTTGAATTTGAGAGTTTTGATCAATCAAATTTTTGAAAACGACATTCCATATAATGACGTATAGCAGCTGTCATTGCTAAAAAAAGGGAAAATATTCAAATATTTTCTTAAAATAAAAACAAGAAAGAATTTCACATACATAAATGAAGACATTGTCCTAATATTCCACTATTTGGCATACTTTTTTCTTATTCAAGTTTAGAAAAATTTCCAGTATTTGCAAGTATAAATAAACCTGATAAATTCATAACACGTTTTTTAATTTTTAATGCATCTTTAGGTGATAGACCTTCCATATTTTCTAATAATTCAATTTCATGCTAAATAAGACAATACAAAAACAAAAAATTTACAAAAACAAATATCATATTAATACATACAGATGCTGATATTGCACTTGCAAATAAAGGTAAAAGACCACTACATGCATTACATAAGACATATGCCTTTTGAGATATTATATGTATAACATTAGCACAAAATATTTGATTATCTGGATTATTTATTGTTTCAGTTATTGATTTAGTCGAATCACTAGAATTAAAAAAATATTGGATGATATTAAAAGCTTAAGATCTTCTCTCAAAAAGTTGATCTCAGGTTAGAACGAGAGCCTTCTTTTTTTAAACTCTTACTTTTTCAGAGAAAAACCAGGGGTCGAAAGTTCAATGGTTCAAAAATTGCATATGAGAGAGCAGATGATGGGCTATTCCTCCATGAATTTATCTCAATTTGGATGATTCTAGCGAAAAGTGACTTCTTTTTGAGGCGAAGCCATAAATTTCAAATACTTAAGATCTCCATAAACGAATATCAACTTCAATTGAATCAAAAACATAATGCAATAGACGAACATGCATTGGAGAATATTTAAATTCAGATATTGTAAATGCTGGTAATTGATTTGTCTTAAATACTTGACGACTAGATGTTGATTCTGAAAAATAATAAATATCGTTTTTTGTTTAAAATCTTTCTTGTCATATGAATAAGTTCGATTATTTGATTTCATGCATTTTCAACTAAAACTAGAGTTTTCTATACATTTTTCAAAGAACGATCATAATTAGAGATGTAAGTCGATCGGTTAAACATAGCGACGACTGGTTTGATAAGAAAAATAAAAAAAATTGATCGTCAGCTGTACGGCTTAGATCTCCAACTGTAATTTACACACATGAATTGTATTCTTTAGAATAGATTATACTTAATATTCTAATCGATCGATTAAATAATATAATAACCACTAAAGCAAAATTACAATTTAACTTACTTGTAGGTGTTGAAGCAGTTTGTTCATCGATTGAAGTTTGTGAACCACTAAGTTTTCTTGGAGTAATTGGTACTTTAGGCTACACATTTCATAGATATAATTCACAACCGATTTATATATATATATATAAAATACGTACTTCATTTTCATCATCATCTTTCATGCTTTCAACAATTTTATTAACTTTTCGATAATAATCTTCTTTAGTTATCTAAAAAACATAATCATAATAACATAAATAAATTCTTCAATTTACTCGTCCATGTAATATTGAAAGTGTATTAATCCATACACGCCATCCACCATATTCATATTTAATAGTATGATGTAATAAAATTTTTAATAAATCAAATACTCGATCAGTTATTTCGAATTGTATTTCTTGTGCTGGATAAACATAAGCAAGACCAAATAAATAATCTTGCCAAACAGACATTTGTAAAATAGTTCTTAACAAATGAAAAATTAAAAAGAATAAATAAATGCCTATTTATATATTTTTTTTAATTACCTTCGATTTTCTCGACTTGCAAATGCAAGTAAAACTAAATCATCAAGAAAACGTAATTTAATATCATATAAATGAATATTATCAGCTTCATTTCGAAGTAATGTTGCAATTACTTTGATCATAGCTAAAATACTGGACATAAATTTCAATTTAATTCTATCTTTTTTTTTGTTTCTATATGTAAAAAAAAATAATTTACCTGGATTTTTAATTTTCCAATCAGCTGTAATTTCTGAACTTCGTTTTTTAACTAATCCACTTACTTTTTCCACAAGTATCTAATTATTACTTAAAATTAATATAACATATATTTAAATTATTGATTGATATCATATCTTACTTCAAATAGAACATTATAAGTAGTCGTTGTAAAACTATTTGGATGAAGTAAAAGTCGATCAGCCAATAATGAAAATAGATTATATGGTTGCATAGTATCAGTTTTTCGTCTTTAAATATTAATAAATAAAAATTTTCTTGAAAATGTAATGAATTATCGCAAAAAAAGTTATTTAAGAAAAGGTTCGTTTATTTTTTTTAACTTCTTAAAATTATGAACGAACATTTTGCTTAAATTAATTTTTCTCTAAATCTTTTATAAACACTGTTTTTTACATACTTCACTGTACTTCGTTGAAGAAAAAATCCTAATAATTTTAATGCTTGTAAACGTGTTATTTCACTTCCACTTGCTAATAATTTAAAAACCGTTCTAAAAAGTACAAACATAAAAAAAAACAAATTTTAACTCTAATCTTACCTTAATCCTTGTCGACGATCAAATGCAGGTACCATTGTTCTTGGATGTTCAGACATAAGATTTACAGCCATATCTGATTCATCAATACGATTATCATCCTAAAACAAAATTTTTCTATACAGAAAACCGGAAAAAAAATGTTTGATCATTTTCTTTTTACTTCATGAACTGTATGAAGATAATTAAGAATAGCTCAAAGTTCTTCTTCTTGACTACCAGAACTACTTATAACAAGTTGTTTTAAACAGAGTAACATATAACGTCTCATTTCAATAATTTGTTCACGTGTTGGTCGATTTCCATCTAAAATTGATGATTAATTTTTTTTTGTATAAAAAAGAAAAAACCAAATTTTCATTTACCTAAATCTTTTGGTTTAAAACCATTTCGATCATGTAGACCAACAATCCAATAGAAATATTTTAATACATGTAATGTTTGAATTATTTCACTTATTGGTTATATTAAATGATAGATTTCTCAATAAGTAACAAACTCTATTGCTAAATATGTATATAAATCCATTTGAATCTATGCAAATAAATTTATTTTAACAATTTCAAATATTAATCAAATAACAGAATATACATCAAATGAACAATAAATCCATATAGTAGGATTAAAAAATTTATGAACAAATAATTGTTTTAATAATAATGAACTATTTTTGCTTTCAATTATAACAAAAAATGTTGCTAATGATATAAGAGAATTGAGTATATCCATGTTAATATGTTGTTTTGATGCCTAAAAGTAGAAAATGTAGTAATCATGATGTTCATTCAGCTTACGAGGGAAGTATTCGAAGTGATTAATTAGTTTTAAATTCGAATACTATGCATAAGGTAGATCCTAGTAATTTTGAGGTTTTTCATCGTTTACTGGGATACTTTCCTCGTTAGTTATTCGAAAATTCCACCTAATCCAAAGATACAGTTATTCAAAAAGGCTATTAAGAGAAAAAAGCTTACTTTTGTTCGTATAATTATACTTCATGATAGGGAATACTTAAATATTCAATTCTTTCACAATGAATTCATTCCATTAAAAATTATATTTAACGGGCATAGTTTTTTTTTCTGAATTCTTTTTAGATTTTGTTGTTCTTGAAGTTTTGCGCGCATGAGTTTTATCTTCAATACAACTATCAATCATTATTTATCTTTACCTTTTTTGTCATAAAATCAATATTTATTACGATTCTTGTTCACATATTATTTTTAGATATGTACATAATGTTCTTTTTTGTATTAAATAAATTTAAACTCATACTTTTCAAGATGATAACCAATAGTAAGAAAACCTTTTGAATTAAGCATTTGATATTAATAGTGCTGTATGAATGAAATATGAAATATTTGTTGTAGGTGCAGCTTGTAAAACAAGTTGATCTTCACATGCAATTCGATTATAATTAAATACAACTGAATTCATTAATTTACTATCATACATGACTCTTCGTTGTAGATCAGATAGAACATGTGCACTTTCATTTTCAAATTTAAATTGATTTTTATATGGTGGTCCTAATTTATATAAACCTTGAACAATTAATTATTCTAAATATATACTAAATAAATAAAATGTTGATAATTGACAGGAAAAACTTGTTAAATCATGATGATCAGGTATACAACCAATAAAACATTTATCAAATAAATCACCACTTTCAATACTCCATGGAAAATATGCATTTGATACAATTTGACCGTTTATATAAAAATGTATACTACTTTTTTTACCCCAACGTTGATATTGATGCGCAAATCTTATCATATACCACTAAAATAAATAAATATCAATCATATAAAATAATGATCAATTTCAAATGATATTTTTATTTCTTGTAGAGTTAAAAAATTTTGAATGATCAAAATCTTTTATTTAAGTTAATCATTGAAATGAATACCTCTCGTAGTTTAAATTCAAATTGTATACAATGTTGAAATGTTTTTTCTTTTAATTTTGAATATGATATTACTAAACAATTACCAACAAAATATGCTGTATAACCATGACCTTTCGATGTACAGAACCAATATAAATATGGTTTTTCTTTTTCAATAACACCATTAGCAACCGGATCAATACGAAACCATGTTGTTATTGTAAAATTGGTGGTAAAACAATACCAGAACGATTTCGACCAGGAAAATTAAAAAATTCATCAGGTTCATGTCGATATGGAAGACTTTTAAATATATTTAATAATTTAACAGCATGTTTTTTTTTCTAAAATTATAATTAGTTAAAAAATAAAAAAATGAATTTTTTGTTTTTTCTTCATACCCATATTCGATATTCTGTTTTAAGATAATGTAAAAGAAGTTTAAGTTCATTAACATTAATTGTTAATGATGTTAAAACTGTAATAATATCAACTAGTAAATCAGCATCAACATCATCATCAATTTTTATTTAATAATTCTAATGCTTCATCATAGATTTGTGCATCAACTGATGCTAATAAATTATGTTCACTTTTACGCATTATACCAATTAATACACTAAGAAATTCAGCTTGTAATGATGATGACATTTTATCAAATATAGAAAATTGATTGTTTTACTGTATTTAGTATTGTTAAAGATGCTTCTTTATTCGATGTATCAGCTATAGTTTGTAAAAGTTGATGAATATCATCATATTAATTTGAAGATTCTGATTGAATAGTATCACCAACTGCATTATTATTGTCTTGTTCACATTCAGGTAATACTAATGAAGTTTCTTCAGATAAAGGTAATGCTGATGAATTCTCTTCTGAGATAGTTGCTGCTGTTGAATCATCTTCTTTTTCAATGATAACATCAGTTGATGGAGATTCTGATGGTAGTTCATTATTATTCGATGTTAAAATTGGTCGTGATTCAATTTCTTGTTTATCATCAATTGATAATTCTTGAACTTGCTTTTCTTCTCGTTCGTTTTCGGATGATAGTGGTTGATCAATTTCTTGTGATAATTCATTGCTATCTTGATTAACTTCATCATTCGAATGAATATCCGTATTATCTTCGATTTCAGTGCTCATTGCAAAATCTGAAATAAATAAATTGTAAGTAGACAAGTATCTGTGTCTATTTATAGGTGATTGAGTTTCGATAAAGAAACCATCATTTTGATTTAAAATAATAGAGCTACTTGTTATTTTGTTTCTCTTCTATGTTCTTAATTTCTATTGATGCATTCTTTTCTTGTTCTTTTTTTTCGTTCGCTTTCTGTTTTCTATTAGTATAAACACGGACGAGTCGCGAGGTGTGGATGTATGAATGCTTTTTATACACCCATTCAAATATCAGTTGATTTTGTTGATTAATCATAAATATAAAGAAAATCAAGAGACTTTTAAAGTAAGTGATTCATTTGAATAATATTTAAATGTAAGAAGACTTGTCAATGTTGCAACAAGATAATCTTGTGATATTTTCAACCTAAAGAAGAAATAATAGTAATGAAAAATAGTCCTTTATTATTGTTTATCAAAGAAAATTAATAACCTTCTTTTCTGATTCAAGCCATCGTATGATCAGACTGACGAAATTTTGTATCTGATCAAACTGTAATAACATTGGTTCACTTATTGATATTTGACTGGCTAAATATAATGTACGAGAATATTTAGTTAAAAGGATGATGACAGACATCATGTGAAATAAAAAAAGGATGAATGACATGTTCTCGTAATGTAATATCATTTATCTTAGAACTACATGTACATCGAAAATTTATCATTTTTTTCTTATTTCATATTGTCATTCGATACTTTTAATTTAATTTAAGACAAGAAAATTGTAGTGATCTATGAACGTGAAGAATATCATAGTACAAAACCTTCTATTCTATTTGATGGATTTGCTGCCTAAAATATGAAAAAAAAATTTCTGCAGAAGATTCATATCTAATAATTATTTTAAAACGCTTCATATCAGATAAAGTGATTGACTTTGCATTTTAGGACAGAATAATGTGGCTTATCCACTTGAACTTATATTAGTTCATATAATTGGTTGTTCATCAAGTATTTGATTGACAGGATTATAATGAGTTTCATTTGAATGGAATAATTTTAAAATTTCACATGATTTAAGAAAATCTTCAGCTTACGAATCCATTAAATTTGATTTCAAAGATGAAATATTTGATGAATATTCATAAAATCGATCCCCATCTTCATCAAGTTCTACTTGATCCTCAACATTTGTTGGTAATGTTGTGGCATTATTTCGATGATATAATAAATGATGTCCCAAATAACCCTTAAACATTTGTTCATTTTGAAATTTTCCTGTTTCCTACAATGCACGAAATTCTTGAGCAATATCAAACCATATATCAGTATCAAATGAAGATGATTATAAGAATTTAAAATACAGAGTGCAACAAAACATACAATAAGATAGTAGGTAAAAATATCTCTCAGAACTAATTTTAATTGACATATTCGTCCATTAGTCTAAAATAGTTAAGATCAGCAAAAAAATAAGACATTGAACTTTATTCTTTACATTTACGGATTCATCAACAATTCCTCGTAGTCTAATCGATGTGTTGATCATTGATTAAAAAGATACTAAAATAGTCTGAAAATTGATGACCAACAAAACTATTTTGTAGTAGAGGATTAAAAATAATAACATGTTTTTTATTTGCTGTCTTCGAAATCAAAGATGAAACCGATGTCCAATATTATTGTGTACGACTATCAGATGTTCTTTTTATCGGATCAACTATATATATATATATTGAATTATTTGATATTTCTTTTCCAAAACAAATCTTTTAATAAATTTCAAGTGCTTCAAAATAAAGATCAGTTACTGAGTAAAGAATTGTTTCATAACCATTTCAAACTCACATGATTTATTTAACTGATTTCGATTACCTGAAAAATTGTTAAAACACTTTCTTTTTCTCAAAATATTCTCATTAATTAACATAGTTAAAATTATATCGAAACTATCATCAATATTTTGAATTTTTCTAAGTAATTGTTCAATTGTTTCTCTTGTTGTTAGTAATTTTATATATTCCTGTACAGAATCACGAAGTAATACAGGTAAAATAAATCGAAATTTTAAGAAAATATGCTAAATCCAAAAACAGAAAGTGTTTTTTGTTTAAAATAAAATTTAAGAAAATGTTTTTTTAAAACGTCCTTCAGATTGTATATCATGACATAAGTTAACTGTACGTGATATCGAGGCAAGAATCTGGTTTTTCTTCTAAAAGAAAGTCATCAAATAATACTAATTACAAACAGTGAAAAACAAAACACTAAGTGTAGACAACCATTATATTTAACTTGAGCTAATTTTCTTTTCAATATCAGCTCTTTGTGAAGTAACATACAATGATTTGCCTGTAATAGTATCGAATATACTCATACGATTCGAAAATTTTAGTTACACATGTAAAAGTTAATTATATTGTATTTCTCTAAAACTTTTTTGATGTAGTTATTCAATGGTGTTACGACCGCACAAAGAAGAAATAAGAAAGAAAGCTTCTCCGTTTTTTTTTCTTCAATTAAAAACTTTGAAATACATGAATAAGTAACATGCTGCGATAATACGACTGTATTAATTATCTGTAACATCTTTATATTTTATTTGACAGAGAAAATTCTTTACTTATCAATAAAACTGTATACTAATGTTTTTCTTAGAAAACGTCTTTTTTTATGTATTTGCAATACAAATTTATGTAAATTAAAAAAACCATAATGATCAATTTAAGCATTGATGATATCATACTTCTGTATTTGAACAAAGAAATCAAGTGTATAATGCGATGCTTTATTTTTGCTTTTGAATTTAGAAAGAAAGATTTGTTTCCTCAATATTTTCACCCATCTTAACTGAAAAAACGTCGAATGATTCTTCTCATTATTTGCCAATTATATGCAAGCATAAATGATTCTCTTTCACATGCACACAAGCAAAGAATAGCTATCAATAAATGCATGTTTGTATACAACAGGAGATTTTCTCATTGTCATTGTCATACGGGTTTAAATTGTGTGTGCTTTAACTATGAATAAACAAAATTTGAATATGATTTCTATATGAATCATAGAAAATAATAAAAGAATTATATTTAATATAGCATAATAAAATAAAATTTCTTTTTATTATGCACATATCTCAAATGAATATAAATCAAAAAATTACTGTGCCAAGATTGTGAGTGATGATGTATTCATTGTTTACATGACTAAACTAAAGCTTTTGGATGTTTCTAGATAAAATTAGGATGATAAATGATATATAAATTTCACTTGTCAATTGCTATACCAATGTGTAAAGCCTACATTTAAGTGTTCCATGTATTTAACATTTGTGATAACTACATCGATCTTTCATAATTTTCAAACTTCAATAACAGTATATTTAGAAAGTAGAAATCGCTGTTTAACTATTGTCTCAATTAAAATTGAAATTGAAATTATAATTTTCTTGTTTCGTTCACATTATCGGCATGTCAGTCATATGCATAATGAGAAAAAAAACTCACACTGACGCTGTTCTTGCTGTCGTTGAAGTCACGCTTCATTTGAAACGTTAATGAAAGTTGGAAAAAATTATCATATGATCAATGATGATGTTATTGGTTTTTTTCCCTTTAATTTATTTTTAATAAGGATACCTTCAATTACTACTAGGCATATTTTGTTATTGAGTGTCAACGAAAAAACAAAATATTCATATTTTACGTCTGAGAAAAATCTAGAAAAAAAACAACGTGCATCAAACGTATAAATAAAAAAGGTAAACTTTGTGCAAGCAGCCATTTACTTTTAGCACTACACGGTTACCAATCACACACAAACCATTGAATTCAAAATGAGTCAACAATCAAGACGACGCTTCGCTGAAAATTACTTCGTTATCTGGGTTGACGAAAATATTGATATGACCAATGAAGATTGCCAGAATACAATGGCACAATTGAAAGCTGTTGTCAATCAAGTACATCAATGTGCAACAGCTGAACAATGTATCCAACAATTGGTTGACAATGAAGAGGAGATCTCATTCATTATCACCTCCAGTGCAATTGCACAACACTTGGTACCAGACATCCATGACATGAAAACATTGAATGCCATTTTTATCTATCGCGGCGACGAACAACAACATCAATTATGGGCTCAAAATTGGCCAAAAATCAAAAGTGTGCATACAACAATCCAAACTATATGTGAAGAGCTCCCAACAGCTACCATACAGTGCAACCAAGACAATATATCGGTGAGCATTGTTGGCGTGAATGAAGGAGGTTCTAGCAAAGATTTGAATCAGCTAGAACCCTCTTTTATGTATTCACAGATATTCAAGGAAATACTCCTTGAAATAAAGCACGACCAAAAAGCTGTGGAAGATTTTGTCAAGTTTTGCCAACAAGAATACCAAGGCAATACGAAAGAACTCAAAATTATTGACGAATTCCAACGAACTTATCAAGCATCCAATGTCCTATGGTGGTATACAAGACATAACTTTACGTACAAGGTTCTGAATGGCGCATTAAGAACCCTTAACGGCGATGTGTTGATTCGAATGGGCTTTTTTTTATGTGACTTACATCGACAAATCGAAGCTTTGTACAAGCATCAGATCAGTCAGTATCATGGGAGGATTCTTACAGTCTTTCGAGGACAAGGCCTATCGAAAGCTGATTTTGAAAAGCTAGCCAATAACAAAGGTGGGCTTATTTCTTTCAATAACTTTTTATCCACTACCACCGATCGCGATGTTTCTCGCCTTTTCGCCGAAAGTAACTTAGGACAACTCAACATGGTCGGTATTCTTTTTCAAATCACCATCGATCCCAAGGTCTCATCCACGCCATTCGCCTCCATTCGAGAGAAAAGTTACTTCAAGGAAGAAGAGGAAGTCCTCTTCTCCATGCATACCGTTTTTCGAATTGATGACATTCGAACAATCGGTGAGAACAACTCCATTTATGAAGTAGATCTCAAACTTACACCAGATGATGATCCACAACTTCGTGAATTACTTGCTTTCATACGCAAAGAGACCAGCGGTACAGGATGGTATCGAATGGGAATACTGCTCTTCAAAATCGGTCAATTCGACAAGGGTGAAGAGTTGTACACGGCATTACTAGAACAGGCCTCCGAGGACAGCGTTAAAGCACATATCTATCACCAGCTAGGATCGGCTCTACACCAACATGGAAAATACAAAGAAGCAATTTCATTTTATGAGACATCCCTGGAAATCGAACGAAAAACTCTACCAGAAGGTCATTCTTCACTGGCTAGTACCTACAACAACATTGCTGCCGCATATTACAGCATTGGTGACTACTCGAAAGCACGGGAATTTCACCAAAAAGCGGATAAAATCTACGAAATATCTCTGCCTCTGAATCATCCCAATTTGGCTGCTTCCGACAACAACATTGGTCAAGTGTATAACAACATGGGTGACTACGCGAAAGCACTTGAATTTCACCAAAAAGCACTTAAAATAAAAAAAATATCTCTTCCTCCGAATCATCCCAATTTGGCTATTTCCTACAACAACATTGGTTTAGTGTATAACAACATGGGTGACTACTCAAAAGCACTCGAATTTTACCAAAAAGCACATAAAATAAAAGAAATATCTCTGCCTCTGAATCATCCCGATTTGGCTATTTCCTACAACAACATTGGTCAAGTGTATAACAACATGGGTCACTACTCAAAAGCACTCGAATTTTACCAAAAAGCACATAAAATAAAAGAAATATCTCTGCCTCCGAATCATCCCGATTTGGCTATTTCCTACGACAACATTGGTTCAGTGTATAACAACATTGGTGACTTCTCGAAAGTACTGGAATTTTATCAAAAAGCACATAAAATCTACGAAATATCTCTGCCTCCGAATCATCCCAATTTGGCTATTTCCTACAACAACATTGGTTTTGTGTATAACAACATGGGTGACTACTCGAAAGCACTGGAATTTTACCAAAAAGCACATAAAATAAAAGAAATATCTCTGCCTCTGAATCATCCCGATTTGGCTATTTCCTACAACAACATTGGTTCAGTGTATAACGACATGGGTGATTACTCGAAAGCACTTGAATATTTCAAAAAAGTACTTAAAATGTACGAGGAATCTTTGCCTGCAAATCATTCTCAATTAGCTCTTCCATATAACTGGTTCGGAAAGATTTATCGAGGCATGAAAGATTACCCAAAGGCACTTGAGAATTTCGAGAGATGTTTCTCAATATGGAAAAAAGCTTTACCAGAAAATCATCCAGATATAGCGTTTGCATTTAGTAATATTGGTGATGTTCATCGATTAATGGGTAATTATGAAAGAGCACTTTCATTCCATCGAAAAGCATTAAATATTCAAGAAAATGTTCAATGTAATCCTCTGGAATGTGCAACGACATATATCAATTTAGGTGAAACATATCGAGAAATGAAAGATTATTCAACAACATTAACATATTTTCAAAAAGGATTGGAAATACGTGAGAAGAAATTACCAAAAGATCATCCTGATTTAGCTGTTGTATATCACAATATGGGAAAATTATATTTATCTACTCGAAAATATAGCATGGCAATGAAACATGTTCAACAAGCCATAGAAATTGCTCAAGAAAAATTACCTTCAACTCATCCACATTTGTTAGAATATAAAGACACATTTGAAGAAATTCGAAAGAAAATGTAATTTTTCTTTTTTTGTGTGCTCAATAAATTGATTTGCTATTCATATTCTTTTTCTTTCGCTTTCGCGCGCGGCAAGGAAGAGATCCCTTGTGCGGATTCGCCATAGGTACCACAGAGCGGACCACGCTGAACTCGTAGAGCAATGGCCGAAGGTATGCCGTGTATTAACGGTAGTGACCAACGACTCAAACGCTATCCCTAGTACTACACTGCTTTGCTATGGCAATTTTCTCTTCTCCTATTGAATCAGACAACGTAGCCATCTGATCCATACTGATAATATTTATGACTCATGACTCATGACTCATCTCAAAAAGAATACTCATTCTCAACTCAATATGTGGAAAAAATTTTTTTTTTATCATACCTCTCAATGTTATATGATATCGAAGCTCATCTAGAAAAACAAAGTAATTTATAAAATATAAAATGAATTTATTTACCTCATGTCTAATGTAATATATCATTAATATTGTATATAATAATAATATCCCGGGTATATAAATAACATTGTAATGCATTATAATATAATACAACTCGAGTGTATTGTATTATGACAAAAAAACACATGTTTTTTATATACCCTGAGATGAATTGATTGATATTGAAAAATGTTGATTGAATTAATATCAATCATTCTGTACACATAACATAACATAATTGATTTAATGATCGGGTGTGGGTGTGGATGTGGGTGTGGGTGTGGGGTGGGGTGTGGGTGTGGGTGTGGGTGGGTGTGGGTGTGGGGTGGGGTGTGGGTGTGGGTGTGGGT